GTTACGTTGTTACGTCGTCTTACAGACATTTTTACACAATAAGGTTTTTTATCCTTAAACCTCAGACACCTCTGACGAAGTGAATTCATGTTACAATTTTAAACGTTTGTCTTTAGTGTTGAGACAGGGAGATGGAACGAAATGCCTCTGAAATGTACAGTATGTAATATTACATTCAAACCTGCCTGAATGAGCCCTTTATGAGTCATATTTGTATATGACTTGTCAATATTTAACTAAAAGTCGTAGTGTTGCCCGATGTTTTTTGAACCACCTTTTTATTTTTTTTTATTTTACATATATAACCGAATGCACCACAAAACAAAAAATGTGATAACAAAAATATGAAATGAAATATAATGGTCTTCTAATTTCACGACTCATGCACTCAGTGTTGAAACCTGTGCCTGTTGAATTGAACACAATATATACTTGCAGGAACTGAAGAAATACACAGCTCTAAATCCCTTTCTTTTTTAACTTTTTAATAGCGATCTGTTGCCACCTGGTGGAAGAGTATTTAAATGTTCTCCCTGTTACCTTGGCATAGATGAAAGAAGACAAATTATAAATATTTATTGAAGAAATAAATGAATTTTCAGACAAATTAAGTGCAATCAGAGAATCTTCTACGACACACTGATGTACCATGGTCTACGTCATTCATATTTTCTTATATAGCTATTTAAGTTGTAGAAGCTATACATAAGCCACGGCATTATTAAGAATAGGTCAATGTAGGCAAAAAATAGCAAAAGGATTTTGTTAGGTGTGTGGACATAATAATAATAAACAACGCTATCTGAGGAGCTGAGGAGATAGCAGAATGCTTTTCAATTAGAGCTTAGTTAAATCGAGCTGTACGTGACTGAAGCTAACCTTGACCCAACTGTTAGCCTAAGGTTTGCAAAACATTTTTTTTTTCACCTGAGCTTCAACAGTGATGTCATATCTCATTAAGTGACAAAATGAAAAAGTCGGAACAGAAAATATCACAATGACTTTGTTACAACCTTATTATTCACTAATGACCGACTACATCACTAAAGGTTGAGACAGACACCGCCTCGAGTGACATCGTCCGTCCGTCAAATTGAAAGGAAAACGCATATAAGCTGAGACTGAAAAGAAAAAGTTTGTACTGGATTTATTTCCTGTCATTTCTTTTGTAAATATGACTTTTTATTGCTGTCAGTTTGCTTTTTTTTAGAATTTTCAACAATAAATACATTCATTATTTCCTGTCATTTCTTTTGTAAATACGACTTTTTATTGCTGTCAGTTTGTTTTTGCTTTTTTTTAAATTTTCAACAATAAACACATTCCATTTTCAAGGATTATTAAACAAATATGACATTTTATCAATGTGTGTAAATGTGTAAATACTGACATGTATTTGTACCATACTTTTCTAGTGTTTGCTGTTTTATTGACACATCAGAAATGACAAAAAAGTTTCCTTTTTTAAAATTGTGTATTTTTTCATTGATGCCAGACCACATCATCTGTTTAGAGGCTGTTGAACAATATAATACTCACGTTTTCTCTTACATCTAATCTTAAGAAATCTGAGACTTGTTTTTGCCGTGCTGCTTAGTCCTTAAAGCATTTTTTTCTTTTGTGCACTCTTTTAGGCATTATTAAATTTATTTTTAGGCTAAAATTTAGCCTAAAAATAAATTTAAGATTGCCACAACACTTATCTTCATTTGTTTACTTACAATTTTTAAAGAACAGACACAAAGAAGTGAGGCAGTTTTTATTTCTGCATCTATAAAGCATTTAGACAGACAGAGAGTGACCAGCAGAGAAAAACAAAAAACAGAAAACTCTAAATATGACAACACTGTGTTGAAGTTGTGTGTTTGGTCTCAGCATAAGCGTCCGATGTCATTCTTGGTGCAGCCCTGGCTGCAGCACATCCCGGCCACGCCCAGGGAAAAGTTCCTCTTCTTCTTGCTCCAGCCAGCAGCCGCTGAACTTCCATCCTGACCACCTAAACCCAAGGCCCCGAAAAGACAGGGCGGGCTGAGAGGTGTCCAGCAGGAAGGGATCACTGAGGAGTTGCTGCTGCTGCTGATGATGATGAGGGGGAGGAGGGGGAGCAGGAGGCTGCTGCTGCTGCTGCTGGTCCACTACAGCCGCGTAAAGAGCCAGGAGGTCTGACAGAGACTGTGAGGAGGAGGTGTGAGGAGGAGTGAGGTTTTCTGTCAGGTCTGAATCACTCTGCTGGTTGTTCTGTGCCGTGACATCACTGGGAGAAATCCACTGGAAAAAGTCTGGCAAAGGAAAAGAATTAGGTTTTTGAACATAAAGCTGAATCAGAATCTGATTGTTTTTAATGTTCAGTGGCTGACCGTGGTGCTGAAAACATTCAAACGGTTACTCAACGGCATCAAACAATCCCGATCTCGTCGTAGATTATGCAGGACTTTGCATTTAACTCTCTTAAACTTTACATTCCAGCACTCAATCTCAGTGTTTGATCAGTGTGATCTGAGTAATAATTAAACTTTTTTTTAATGTTAGAGGTTTTACCGAGACACTGAAATCTTAGCTTAGATGAAAACTAGTTTTTCCACTCACTGATTAGACAAGTCAAGTACTATTAGCTTTATTTTCCAACTTACCCGAGTCTCCATCTGCAGAGCGTCTCCACCGGGAGCCTCCGCAGGTGAAGATGACCGCTCTGATGAACTCTCTGCCACACAGCTTGACCCCGTAGTCCCTGTGCACGATCAGTCCGCTCATCAGATCGGCTTGCACGCAGCTGCACATGGCACCGACGCACAGCACGGCCACAACCAGAGACGACCTCCACAGCATTCTCTTTTCTTCTGCCTCTTCTTCTGGGAATGCTCTCTCTCTCTCCTGAGCTCCACCTCTGACCTGATGCAGGTCTGGTTTCCTGGAGGATTTTAAGACGTCTTCTCTAAAAGGTGGTTGAAGATTTTTTTTTCTTTGTTCTTGGCTCTTGAGCTTCAGAGTTTCTTCTCCTTCTCCTTCTCTCTTGGTCGGCGGACATGGCTTTTATAGCCTCAGTCTCTACTTCACTAATGAACACATGTTCTCACCCCCACCTTTCCTCTCTCTCTCTCTCTCACACACAGACTCAACATTTAAATTGATGACAATGACGCACTTGCATTTTTTTTTTTCGGTTTAGTAATAAAAAACAACAAATACTGTGGTTTGTTCTCCTTAGAGAAAAGTTTTTTTTTAAGATATAAATGTCTTCATGCAACAGCATTAGTTTAATTAAAAAGATCAATAAATCATTTTTTCATATAAATAATTGAAGCATTTTTTTTTGAAAAAGTACAAAAGCTGTCATTTATAGATGAGAAAGAAAATTTTTTTGTTGGTAGATTTTTGAAATGATTTCTTTAAACAAAAAACAAAATATACCCTTGTTTTTCATTTTATATTGTGTAGTGTATAGTTCCTTTGGTATAAAAAGCATTTTCTGGAGGGAATTAATAAATTCTCACAATCTATCTTAATTCAAGTTTTTTAGACATTAAAAAAGTAACATTTCCAATGTACTGTTTGTAAGTGCATCATATGATATCAGTAAATAACGCAGAAAAAAACTCTTAAAAAAAAAAAAAAGTAGCAATACTTTCATTTTTGTTGACCTGATATCAGCGCTAACATGTAGTAAGCCTTAAAATAGTGCATTTTTATATAAAATACAAACCATGCCACCTGCTGGTGAGGCTGACATTAAATGTGGATACATCCGTTTCCTCCCAGCCAACCAACAGTTTCTTCACCTCCTCTATGAGGAGGTCGCTCCACCACCACGGGCCGTCTCTATGCTGCTAAACGTCACAGGCCCAAAAGGTTGTCCAAGACGGTGGTGTTCAGATATGATGACGTTCTCTGCCTCACCTGTAGGTGACAGAGAGTCACAAAACTGGCAGAACTGTCTGTTGTGTTTACTTTTCTGAATAATTATGAGGAGAGGTCTTACCTAACACGCGCATCTGGAACGTCCCGTAGGCGACGTCGTACTGGTAGGCCACTAAAAAACCAAGAGGAACCATGGGTGCTAATAGTGACGGTCTCTTTTTTTTAATGGAACTGGAAAGGAAACAAAGGAAACGGTGAGTGAAGGCTCACTGGTGATGACTGAAAACATTTATACAAGTGAGTGTCAATGAGAGTGACGCCAGTCCCTGTTGGAACGGACAGTCAAAAGCAGACCTGGGCGTTGTACGGCCCGCAGGCCACATCCAGCCCTCTGACTATGAGGGACTGGATGATGTGAGTCAAAATAATATACAGTATAAATATATATAGATACAAGTCCAATCCGTTCCACAACAGCTCTCGTCTGTCGATCCCCATGTATCTCGATTGCATTTTCCCCATTAAAAATAACTAAAAAGCAATTAATTCGTTCCAGCGCCCCAGAAATATACTATTAATATATCAAATTAAATTTCCCCCATCTAAACATAAAAAGATAGATATAAACAAATATATTGCGAGGGACAGTGAGCGAGACAGCGCCACAGACTGTCGGAGCCACTTATTCAAATTAAGGTGGAAAAATGGAGCTCTGTTGAGCACTTGTAACCAGACATGTATCATCAAGTATCAACATATCATGTATCAAGAGCAAAATCTTGCAATATTTGCAGACTCGTAACATGTATACTTGCAATAGTTGCAGACTCGTAACATGTATATATGTATGTGTATATACATGCATATACACATACAGTACATACGCGCATATATAAATGCATATACATACTGTGTATAGATACATACGTATAAACACATATAGACCTAAATTTATAGACATACTGTATATACATGCATATACACAGAGTACATACACACATACATAAATACATATATATATATATATACGTACGATGACACCTCAGGTCATGGACGTCCCTATTTTCAAACAAATGAAAACGCTAACAAGGACGGGCTGTTCAAGGACTTACGCTGCCAAGAGTCCCACGCCGGTCAGTGCACAGAAAGAGCCAAAGTATTTGAACTGCTCCCTGCCCACAGCAATCTCCATGGCCATTTGTTTTTCTGCCGCTTGACGCCGCGTCTGCAGCTGACGCTCACACTGCACAAACAAACAGACACAGAGAGACAGATAAGATGAAGATGTGGCCTAACTCTTAGCTATATTTTCCTCGCCAAAATTCAACAAAGGTTTAGGTTAACCGTTAGCAGTAGTTTTACATTTTGGTTAACCTTTATCTTATTTTTGTTCCAACATTAGAAGTAAGTCTTTTGGTTATTTTGTGGATTGTGGATTGATTTAGTATTTTAGGATTAGTATTTTTTTGCATAGCATACCCAAATTGACAAAATAAATTTTGTTTAACATAATAATAATAAAAAAGACATTACCCCAACCCCTCAAAATAAAACTTCAACTGAAAAAAGGACAGTAGAAGTGGAAATATTGTCACTTTAATATTGAAATCACAATCATGAAAAGGTAGTACTTTTTTTTTTCTTCAACTTTTTAAATATTTCTGCCCACTAACTTTGCTACTCAGTCCATTCATATTTACAGGAGCCGTCAGATTATACAAGTGTTTGTGACATGAAGAGACTAGACTGCGTGCCTTTCACTAATAAAGCAGCTTATGATCAAATTTCAGTTTTTTTTAATTTTGGGTTACACAAAGAACAGACAAGGAATTTTTAAAAAGGAAACAGGAAGTGATATAAAGTGGGGCAGTTGTTGTTGTTTTACAGAGAAGGACGGTGAGTTTATTCTTACTGATGACACGTGTCTGATGTTTCTTGCTATTTGCAGACCAATATGAATTTCTTGAATTAAAAAAAAAAAAAAAAAAAAATCAAACTAGTGACATTTTCATTTAAAAAGCTTTTACTCCCATCAAGCGGATGTGTCAGAGATGACTCTTTTGTCCGTCTCACAGAGAAGTGACACCGGAAAGAATAATGACATAAATTACAACATGTCAATGTTTAGATTTTTACCTCTCGCCACGTAGTCATGTCATCATTTCATTGGTTGAAGAGTGGACCCTGTCTAACACACACCACTGGATATTCTCTAAGGCTACAGATGTTCTCAAAAGGGGGGCACAATCCCAGAGCTACTGCAGCCAGCAGTCATTAAAGTTTCATTAAATAAGCCATTTTTTAATATCAATTTGCTTCTAACTGAAATATTTTTGTCAAGCGATTAATGCATCCAAATCTTTCAAAAATGATACAACTCATTTTTCTATAGACTTACTTACTATGTCATTAAAACCCACTGTGCTCATACATAACATCATTCCATCAGGAGGTCAATCTAAGGAAATAAAATGGTGCTAACTACATGCATTAACCGCCTATTGAGGATGAAATAATTCATGACTCGGCTGCAAATAGCATAGCGTTGATTCAAGAGCTCCTCTAATGGCAACTAATAGGAGTTAATTTCAGAGAATAAATAATTAGTTTTTAAAAAAAAGCCAAGGTGAGTCATATAATTGTCAGGTTAACATATACACAGGTAAAAAAAAAGAAAGAAAAAGAAATCAGTAATGACAGATATTCATGTGATGCTTTGGAGACCAGCTGTGAGACTGATGGCAGAGAGGCTAATGATTACAGAACAGTCCAATTCTGAGATTCACATCAACAAGGTTTAAAAAGAATCTTTCTTCTTTTTCTCTATTCTTTTTCCCGGTCAAAAAGCTCTAAAGAAAACCTTTTCAGCACCTTACAACTGTGATTAAACTTCAGCCTCTGGAACAACTTTATTTCCCTGTAGAGTCCAAAAAAGCTGTGGGGTGAGTCAAGAAATTCTATTAACATAATGAAACTAAAACCTTTTCATTCACCTCCGACAATCTCACTGACTGACATCACTTTTATTCTTGAGAATGAAATGACACAAGACACTAACAGGAATTTCCTGTGTTCAACCTGTGAAACACACGAGGAAGAACTTTGGCTTCTGTAGTAACCACGTTTACTACAGCTTCTCAACTTTCCAGGAAGGAGGAAGTGACACAGGCAACAGTGACAACACCCTGGACTCAGGTTTTAGTTTTGATTTGCAACCAAACCTATTCTTTCTGTGGAATCCTGGTAGGAAAATTAAATTTTGGTCAACCATAAAAATTGGAACTTTCACAGGAACATGTATAAAATTGTTAGTAAATGTCTGAGTGGCTTTTATAACAAGGGAATTGGCCCAATTTTACTTTGTTTATTATATATTATAATTATATTAATGTCTGCACATGTACTTTAAAAGCAGGCACATTACTATAGATATAGAATAATGTTTGAAGGAGCAGAGTTTTTTTGGTGATATTCTAATTTTTTGAGATAGGATTTTTGAGTTTTCTCAAGCTCTAAGCCATAATCAGCAATATTAAAATAATAAAAGGCTTGCAATATTTCAGTTGATTTGTAATGAATCCAGGATGTATGGCATTTTTGTTTTTTTAATTGCATTAAAGAAAATAATGAACTTTATCACAATATTCTAATTTTCTGAGACAGTCCTGTATATATATGAGTTAAATTAAACTTGAATAAAATAAAACTTTGTTAAACCATGTGCTGTGCTACAGTAAACAAATGTTTAGAGTGCTCTGAACATTAGTTTCCAGTATTCCTCACAGAGAATGTTATTTCACTGCTCATCCGATGGCATAAACCTGAACCACTGACAAATAACCATTTACCAAAGTAGTCAACTTCAGGCCAAATTAAATCCGGTCAAGCCACATTCATTTAAGAGCACATTTACCATACGTAGACCCTTAGTCGTTCACATGGGATAACTCATGTAGAGAAAAAGAAATAACAAGAAGAGACGTGAAGGACAACGAAATAAGGAGACAGAAAATTAAAGGAATGTTTTTACAAAAAAAAAACTAACAAGGACAAAAACTTATCAGAAGAAGTTGAACTTTGCGCTGCATATATATGCATATACTGTATATAACCAAACCTATTCTTTCTGTAAAATCCTGCTAGAAAAATGTAATTCTGGTCAACCATAAAAATTGTTCTTTTACAGGAACATGGATAAAATTGTTAGTAAAAGTCTGAGTCTGAGTGGCTTATATAACAAGGGAATTGGCCCAATTTGACTTCATACCTAAAAGCTTTTGTTTATTATATATTATAATTATGTTAACGACTTTGACATAACAACGTGCTGTTACTTTTTGTACTTTTGTACAAAAGCAGGCACATTACTATAGATACAGAATAATGTTTAAAGGAGCAGAGATTATAATGCTTGCTTTAATGGACAGCAAAATTGAATGTAATATAAAAATATGAGTTAAATTAAAATGTACTTTTGCTGCACATATGCACACAACAGAAGCCGTGAGCCACAGTTCTTTCAAAGACGGACTAAGAGATAGCATTTTGATTTAGAATTCAACATGTTAATAGAAATCAACGCTGTGTTAAAATGTTAGTTAGTTTGCTGAAAAGCACTTATAGTTGCAAATAATCAAGTGGGTCAAAACTTTGGTTCCTCCAGTCAATCTGTTTAAACAGGAAACACACACTGTCAATCACGACCTGTTATTAAAGATCAAGTGAAGAAAACAAAACGAGGAAGAAAAACATTCACGTCATTCCAGAACTTCCACCTCGACTGAAGTCATGCATCACACATCAGACAGAGTTTCCAATGTAATGTTTGTGATGGACATGTGATTCGAGGACAACGGCCGGCAAAAGTACGGCAATTAGCACAGACTGATGTGACTTGAAAAACTGACAGGCTCTTATCTTTGACACCTTAATGCAGGGGGAGGGAGCAGGCAGGCGTCACAGCAAATTGTTTCAATCGAACTCATTCAATTTTCTGATGTCATGACCACATTAATTTATGAATGGAAATAGATCAGGAAAAATAATTGTATGATTTTCTTGCCACAGACTGACATTTCACTCTTCGTGAGGCTCTGAGAATTTCATATTTTCTAATTTAAGTAATTCATAGACATCTTATTGAGCCCAGGTAAGAATGTAGATTATTTTATGCTTAGTGCGTACTGGTTTTTAATGGTGCAAACAGATTTGACCTAAGAATCAAACTACTCATCTTTAAACTGTAGCATACAAACTCAAGGACTTTTTAATAACTTCCTTAAAAAAGAATTGGCAATACCATAATCGAAAAGTCCGAAATCAGCTTAAAGTTAGCAAGCACAATAGAGTTTAAATTGTTAACAACCTAGAAATTTTCAGAAATCTTTAACAGCACTTCCAAAGAGTTCAAAATGAGCTAAAGATGATTGAAGTTTAGTTAGACAGTTTAGACATTAGCTAGAAACATTTGAGAAGGCAAAACAACTAAAGGTTAGCCACATTTCTCATTGAAATAAATAAATATTTTCCTGAAACATATTTATCATGTCAGAAAGAAATGCCTTTCACACTGATGAGGATTGCTACGCTAATCTGTCTGATGGGCCATAAACACGTCACAGATTTGATTCCAAAAATATCCCAGGTACAGTCATCTCCTCTAAGTTGAAACAATGTGGATCCACTTCAGAAACATGCATATGTGAAGTGAGTGTTCACAGCTGAGTCACTGCCATGACCCCAGTAAGGCGCGTTGAAAACTTAATTGCCAAACAATTGCCTCCACTGAATATTATTAGTCTTCGTTTGGCATATTTAAAGATGAGAGATTAACAGAAAATGGCAGTGAGCAAAACTCATCCAGCCCCCTGGCTGTCAGAGAGATGATGTTATTGCTGTTATGACGTTCACCTCCACCTGCTGCTCAGCAGCTTATAGGCAGAAATAAATCATCAGAAATTGCCTTCAAAAAACAAGGGTATTTATTATAAATAAATCAATAAATACTGCCACTGACCATTTTTCCCACCAACTATCAGTCTTTCAGTATGTTATAGTGTGGTATTTTATATACATATACATATATATATATATATATATAAATAAATATATAATATTGGACTGGGAGAGGAAACAAGAAACAAGAAAGAGAAAAGCCAAAAGTGTGACAAATATGCTAACGCTATACAGAAAGAGCATCACCCAAAACCAGGTCAAACCACATAAACTACAGGCTAAGCTAAGGCTATGCTAACCGCTAAAAACCTCTGACGGGTTGAGATATTATAAGTTGGTTTACTGCTCTCTCCTGGGTTGAGTTTTCAACAACAATCTTAACATTAACTGAAATAGTGGAGGAGATTATCGTTCAATTAATTTTGTGGTGTATTTTATATTTTAATTATCAAATAAAATATATTTTAAAAATACAGGTTTTTTTTGGCAAATTATTTATGTGGTACATCCCAATGAATGTGATTTAAAGGCAATGTTTTTACAACCTTTGACATTTAGTCAAACAACCAAAGGGAAAATGGTTCAACAATGTCAGCCAAATTCCAAAACATTACAAACTGTGCCATAGTCAGCCCATCCTTTTTATTATGTTGATAAGGCTTTAGGTGTTTGGATTAATCACTCCTGTTTCACTATGATGGCACTTTTTAACACAACGTACATTAAAGATATCATTAC